GGGGGGGGGGGGATATAACATAGATAGACATACACTGGGGAAAGTCAGAAGTGCATAAAATATTAAAACCTTAATAAGTATAATAATCTATCAACATCTGAACTTGAAATATCATATTTTTATCTGTATTGCAAATATAATTGGGCAAAAGGTTCAATGAAAATACCTAATAGCCACAACTAACACAAAATCAAAAATGTTCTAAGATTTTGTTAACTATAGGGTGGGGCAAAAGTAGGTTTACAGTTGTGAGTATGAGAAACAATTCTTGTATTATTATTTATTAATTATTGTATTATTTTCCATATGAACAACTCTAAACCTACTTCTGTCCCACCCTGTATAGTTTCAAATGTTCAAAACTTTTCATTAGGACCTTTTTTATTAGCCCTTATCGAGACATTTAAAATAAATAATCAAACATCTTAGAAACAATATTGCGACTCACCTGCTGTGCAGTTTCTATTTTTTCTTCTTCCATTTCTAATGAAATGAAACCATTCAAGAGAATGTCTTCTGTAGATTCAGGCACTATTGAAGTCTGTGCAATGGGCAGCGAATGGGATGTTAAACTGCACAAGTCTTCAATTGGGAGCTTGAAAAAGAAGAGCCACAAAGATATTTAAATAACTTGAAAATTCTCTTAACTCAAGACTGGTATTACACCTCAGTTGTTTTGAAAGAGAAATGAATGTTTCCTATCAAATCATTTGAGGTTAATAAATGCCATGTAATGCTAACATTTATAACTAGGCTCTCTCTATAGTAATGCTAGTCTCAAAATGTAAACATGACACTGATATCCCGCCATTAGTAAAGTATGGTTTTTGAATCACCTTTCTAATACTGGTGGTGAATCTGTGCTAATCCACACATATTTTCTTAATTGAACCTCCTGTCAACTAGCACCCAAGGCAAAACCTGTGTGCCTTTGAAAGTAGCTTGCCCTCCCCATTATCTAACCCAAAAGCCTAACCTCATTAACACCAACCAACAGAAAACAAATCACACCCAAGAATTAAGTACCAATAAATATTAACTCCTTCTAATATTTCCACCACTAGCACACTTCACCCTCACCTGCCTGCTGACAAATTTTGAAATTATAATTAAACAGAATTTCAGAGTGTCCCAACAGTTTCAGAAGAGCCCCACCTACAAGGCCTCATTTTGATGCCATCAGATCTACAATACTCTGTAGTTCTCCACTGCTACTAAAGACAGCCCAGTGTTAACTGACCTGTAGTCATACCAACAGCTATTTTTAGACCTAACAGAAAGGGAGTGTGGATGCTGGGGAAGTTGTTAAAGGGCCTAATTGTTTTCTTTCAATTCCAGTTTTCAGCTCTTAGGGCATGACATTTAAGGTCCAGCAATATAAAATCTTGATCCAAGGTCTTAGGAAATTGCCTTCCTATATTTCTAGATATAGAAATTTCATCTGAAGACAGTATTTTCTCTTTAAAGCTAAAATAAACTAGATGCAAAATACACCATCACTAATTTAAAAATAGCCCTTTAGCCCTGGCCAGTATAGCTCAGTTGCTTGGAGCGTTGTCCCATACACAGAAAGGTGGACACATACCCAGATTTCGGGTTCGATCCCCAGTCAGGGCATGTGAGGGAGGCAACTGATCAATGTTTCACTCTCACATCGCTATTTCTCTCTCTCTCTCTCCCTCTCTACTCCTCTCTCTCTAAAAAAATCAATAAAAGCATGTCCTTGACTGAGAATTTTTTAAAAATACAACTCTTTAAATATAGGGGTTTTTGTACCTGGGTTCAAGTAAGGTTACATCTTCTTGCACAGTAAATAACATTATAGTACAGCCTGATTTGAACCTTGCTCCTGCTCATTTATAAGCTATGTGACAACGGGCAAGTCACTTTCTGCTTCTAATCCTCAATTTCTTCACTATAAAATAGGATCTACATCATCTATGTCATAAGAGCATTGTGAAAAAAAGTAAACACAGGTGTGGGAAAACAGGCTTCTAAGGCTGCTGGGAAGCTGCAGACAAAAAAAAAGTGTCAGGTAAGCTCCTCGATCTGCTTTCTCCCCATAAATGAGTCTGACTCAAGAGCCAAGAGGGGCTAGATGTATGCTGGATTAAGGGCATAATTTGTTCATGTAAACTCTTCCTGAATGGTGATATAATCCTTGAGTATAAAAGGACTGTGGGGCAGTAAGAATTAAATTTCTCAAATCCAGTGAGACTCTATCTTGAGTTTAAACTGTCACCAGCAAGGGTTGTGGAGGACAGAGGAAGCTGTGCCGAGATAAGTCGCATCTGCTCACACTCTGTGCAACCATCCCAATTACCAACAACAAGCTGTCTCCTTGGAGAGAGGGAGGTTAACACATCAGAGACAATGCTACATGTACTTAGCATAATGGCTGCCACATAGTAAACACAATAAATGTGACCTATTGCTATTTATCATATTATTATTCCTATTTATTAGCAGCAACAAAGTAAATTTATAAATCTGAATCTATACTGCTTCTTGGGCATAGAAAAGTCCGTAGCCTATCTTTACAAAATTACATTTTATTACTGGTAAAATTTATCTCTAAACAGATCATGACAAAATTCTGTCAGCACCGTTTACACAAATACCTAAGGGGCAACAGGGAATGTGAGACATTGATTAGGCCCAGATTTGAAAAATATACCAGAAAACAGATGGAGGCTAGGCTAAGATCAAGAAAACTGGACAGAGTGTTGCTTGCACCATAATAAATTTTTAAAAAGACAAATAACCTACAAAATCATAACTAATCCATCAGCGAGCTGAGATTACAGAGTATCCAAGTAGCTTAAAATCTGTGTGAGATGGGCACCTCCAGAGACAGACAGAATGTGAGCACTGGCTCACCTGTGGCAGATCATGGAAAAAGAAATAACAAGCACCATACAAGTAAGTAAGAATTCAGCTAAAATTTCTAACAAATTATAAAAGGCTAGGGTGTAAGTATTGAATCCCTGAAAGCCACAAACACAAGGGGACTTAGCACCCACACACATGGTTTTCTTCACAGGCCTCCATCAGGTGCTCATGAGAAAGACTGAGAACAGGTGGCCCAGGCCTTGAAAAGGAGATGACTGTGGGAAAATGAGGAACAAAGCCCCACTTAGACCCTTCTCCTCGGTGGAACAAAAGTCTTAAGAAACTGAAAAAAAGAGCAGCAAGTCCTATCATCCCTAGGGCACAGAGGAAGATACACTTCCACTGGGGAAAAAGAAAACACCATTAACCCTGGAGGAAAAGCAAGAAACAACCCAAGACCTATTACAATAGAAGTCTCCTATAACCAGCGGAGAGCAGAATCAGTAAGAAAGCTCCACCTCCAAGACCCAGGAGCAAAGCACATGCATCACACTGAGGCTAGATGTGGATGCTAGAAAACTCTCACTTAACACTCACTATGAGACTAAAAATACCAGCATACCGCTATGAGAGAGCAAAGCACAGACCCCCTCTGAGACACAGGCACACAGCATACCAAAAGCTGACGGTTACAGGAGGAATGTTAAGAAAATCCTGCAGATCATGGGATATTTTGTCTTTCTCTGCCTGGCTTATTGATCTCACTTATAGGTGGACTCTAAAGAACATAATAGCCCAGCCGTGCATGGCTCGGCGGTTGAGCGTCGGAGCTAGGATCCAGGAGACTCAATTCAACTGGGCACATGCCCAGTCAGGGGCATGCTGGAANGCAGAGAGCACTGCTCAGAGCCATCACAATAACCCTGACACGAGCTGATGAGGACCCTGCACTGGGTGGCTGTGGATGCTGAGAGGAGAGGGTAGATTCCAATGACAAAATTTCAGTGTTTGTGGGAGTTTGTATGAAGAAGAGTGAAGAGAACAATAGAAAATAACTTTAAACTTGACAACTTAGAGTCCTGACAGAACTTGGAAATGATAGTTTTACAGCTTTTTGAGGGGAGGGGAGGTGGAGGTAATGGGAGAAGAGAAGGAGAATGTTCAAATAGGATGATGGGTGAGAAGAAGGATCTCGTACCCTCTGGGACAGCATGGAGGGACCTGGAGGATACTACACTAAGTGAAATAAGCTGGGCAGAGAAAGGCAAACATCACACGATCTCACTTATATATGGAATCTAAAGAGAAAAGTAAATTGATGGACAAAATAGATTCAGTGACATAGAAGCATGGAACAGTTTGAGGGATCTCAGAGGGAAGGTGAGGGTAGGTGGGAGGGTGGGGAGAGATTAACCAAGAATTTATATGCATATATGCATAACCCCCACCGAGTGGTGAAGGCTTGGGGCAGGTAGTGGGTGTGGGGTGGAAAGGGTCAATGAGGAAAAAAGGGGACATCTGTAATACTTTCAACAATAAAGATAAAGAAAAAAAGAAAACCCTGCAGAAACCCAGCCCCAATGTTAAGCAAAAGTTAACACTAGAGAAATTTGAAGCCAAATGTAAATTAAAGATAACCAGAACAACAACAAAACCTCAACCTAGCTGAACTCCTGACTAGATTGATTCAACTTCCCACACTAACAACCTAAGAGAAGAGGTGTTCTTATTTCCAGGCGTTAATACTATTTTCCTCATTCTCTACGGTCCTGAACAAAATGTCCAGTATTTACTCAAAATTACATTAAAAAGCAAGGGCAAGGAGAAGAAATCATTGTCAAGAGACAAAGCACTCAACAGAGCGAGAATCAGAGATGATCGGGATACTGGCACTATCAGATAATAAATTAAAAATAGCCCTACCTAATGTTACTAATAGGTAACTAATATGTTAATTATAAAGGCTCTGGTATAAAATATATTTAAAATACCCTCTGTTTGGCCTTGGCAAGCAAGCCGTTCCCAGCATAGCTCCTACCTCCCTCCCCTCTGCTAGCTGTTAGATAATCCCTTGCTCGACCCTGGCCACGTGTGGAAATTCACCCAATGGGCTGCCATCAGGTCTTCCCCAGATGTAATAAAGGCTATGTCTTTTCCCTCTGGCACCCCACTTGGTTTTTTCGGACTAGCAAAGAACAGTGTGGTACTCCCTGGGCTGGAGCACCTACAGTACAACACTCAACACAGCTAAGGAATCGGTAAACTAGAAGATAGGTCAATAAAAATAACCCATAAAGAGGAAACAGAGAAGAATAATAAAAACTGAACACAACATCTAAGAACTGTGGATGATGTCGAGTGATCTAATGTATGTGTAATTTGAATCCCAAAACAAAGAGAAAGAGAAAAGGGTAGAAAAAATATTAAAGGAGATAACAGTTGAGAATTTTCCAAAAATAATGAAAGACAACAAATTACAGTTCTGAGGAGCTCAGAGAATCCCAAGCAGAATGCATATACACACACACATACATCTACACACATCATATTTAAACTCCTGAAAACCAAAATTAAAGAGAAAATCCTGAAGGCAGTCAGAGGATAAAGACACATTATATTCAGAGGAATAAAAATAAGAATCATAGCAGACTTATCAGAAGACAACAAAGCAACATCTTTTAAGTAATAAAACAAAAAAACCTGTCAATTCATAATTCTTTACCTAGTGAAATGTCTTTTTTAAAGGAAAGAGAAATAAAACCT